GAAATATGGTTTTGCATAAAAAATTAAGTAATGCAAATTTTCCAACTTAAAGTTAGAAAGGAATGAAAAATGAAATGGAAATAGGATTTTCTTCTTCAATATTTAATAATTAATCATTGAAAGTGTGATTGTGAGAAAAGTTGAAATATGAGTCTTTGCCGATAGAAGTTAAATATTAAGCTAATAATCCTCAAACATAATAATGAAAGTATTTATAGAGTTTTTTTTGCACGAACAACTTTTAAATAGTAGTGTATTTTGACTTTCACGAAAAATTGCAACTCTCTATTTTAGCTTTTCAAATAATGAAATGATCAATTAATCATGAAGGGCTAAATATGTTGAATATGTAAGAATAGAAGTACGACTTCTCCCTACATCCGTATAGGGAGTAAAAATTATACAAAAGTACTCTTAAAATTATCATTAAAGATGAAAACCTTTGGACTTGAAAACCAGCAAAGACCAAAACTTTAGATTCATAGACCAAAAATCTTAACATTAATTAGATATTTACGTTGGGAGCGTGAGATAAAAGACGACTTAAGATGTTTTTAATTGTATTGTTTTCAATCTCAAACTTAAAGAAATCATATCAAGTTTAAATAGACTTAACCGCATATATCAAACGTTTATGAGACTAAAGCAAATGTAAGCACATATTATTATATTAGAAAATCAAGTCTAAATCAATACATTCTAAGCCTATGAAGCTATGAGCGCAAAAAATATAAAGTAAAACAACACCTAGAAGAATTCAAAGGTTAAAAAAGCGCATATTGCACAAGATTTTGAAGAAAGCTAGCGGAAACGAGTTGCAACTTGCAAGAGTCATCAAATTCTCTTTCATCTGAATTAATTGCAAATGTCATATACTGATATACTCATATGTCTTAACAAACATAGCACATATAATGAATACAATTTGCACGCAGAGATGATAAAATATGGAGATAAAAATGTCGTATTATCTTAAGATAAAATGCCTTTCAATGAGAACTAGCTAGCTTCTAGCGCCATCATAAAAACCTCATCTTAATATAAATGATTATCATTCAAATAAAATTTTCCATGCCTTCGTAAGGCGGTTGGGCAGCACCTAATTAATAGTGTCGTACTGGCTTACACAATTTTTTTTGTAATGCCATCATAAATAAAAATGCCATCGATAAAGATTGGCAGCGTAGGATAAAATATAAATAATGGAAATGTCATCTTAAGGAACAACAATATAACTCACTGCAAAGAAAAGATATATTCTTTCTATACTCACTAGATATGATGGCGTAAAGGATACAACAAGAAAGAAACATAAACACTAAATAAATACAAACATGCATGTACATTATATACAAAGAAATGTGTTGTTATGTGTACATGGGCGTGTGTACATATATTTTAATATAATCCTATCTCGATATTTTAATTATCCATGAACGATTGAACATGAATGAGTATGTCCATGAAGTAATTATACTGATCAAGCTAAGGGATATTCAATTCTATATGAATAATGAATGTTCCAATAAATAGTTTCAAAAGAAATTATCACATCTTTTATAAAGTAGTCATATTCTAGGATTTTGAATACTAGTTTTTGATAACACAATTTAAAATTCTGGACTCAATAATTATCGGGTTTTACGTACTTGACTAATTTCGTTTCTCTCATTTTGAGTACAAGTTGGTAAGTGGTAACACTGACTAGGCTTGGACTCGGTGCGGGCCACCCGGCCCGGGAATCGGCCCAGCCCGGTACTGTGGGCCCGGCCCGGGAACTGGGGACCGGTTCTGGGTCTAGGCCCGGTTTGTGGGGGGTAACCGGGGAGGGTACGGGCTAAGGGAAATGCGAACTGGCCTGGCCGGGCCCGGGTCCGGTTCGGGCCTCAATATTTTTTTTTTGGTTTTTTCTAGGGGTGGTGGGCGCGGTCTGATTCGGTCCAATATTTGGTCGAACCTGTACCCGTACCGTTACTATTCAAACAGTTCGGTTCGGTTCGGTCTTAGACCTAAACCCGTTCGGTACGGTTCTATTTTCAAACGGGACGGTACCATCCATACCAATACCAAACAATGCCATTTTTTCCCAAGTGTTTAAGGGGAAATTAAAGTTTAGTCATCCTCCAAAAATCCACATAACTTATCAATTTTCATACTCGATTCGTCCCAAATTGATATGCAAAGTCAATACTTTTTGGTCAACCAATGTTAAAGTTATATCCTCTTTATTGATAATTAATTCAATTTTTAACAATTAAAATTTATATATTTAGAAACTACATTAAATCTCTTCAAAGTTGCAAACTCAAAATTAAATATAATTAAAAATTGACATCCTAATTAAGTGAATAAAATGAAACTGCTTGACCAAGAAAAGTTAATTTTGCAAATCAATTTGGAGTGGAGGTAGTATTACATGATTAATAAATTTCAGATAAACTATAGCAGTACAAATTCAAATAATTAAATCATACATCGGTCTGGTTCCAGACTTCATATGAATTAGCAAAGGCGATGAAAGTGTGAAGGCACTAATCAAAGTAATGGTATAAATGTAAATTTAAATAATTAAATCATACTTCGCTCCAGTTCGGTCCGGTACATGTTCTCATTTTATGAGAACCGGTCATGGGCCCATGGCATTGTTTAGAACCGGTACGCTACGGTTCGGGACAAAAAAAATTGAGATGCGTTTCAACTTTCAAACCCGTTTTTCGGTCCGATACAATACCGGTTCGGTTCGGTACCATGCCGGTTTGATATTTTTGCCCACACCTAGTTTTTTCAATTATTTTTTGCTTTCCCCCGGGTTGGGTTGGGTCACCGGGGTGTTTGGGGGGGGGGGGGGGGGGGGGGGTCAGGGGGGTAGTTAGGAAATAAATAAATAAAATATAAACAGGCCCGAGCCCAGCCCAAACCGGACCCGGTGGATACCCGGGCCGGTTCTAGGCCTAACCCCAAACCCCAAAAAGCCCGCCGGGCCTAGCCCCGACCCGGGCCCGGTCCATCACTAACACTGACTATAACTACATGTTGAGTTCTATTTATTTCAGTTCTATGTGGACAAATGGTTCTCCCCCGGTATGTTTAATATGAGTAATGAGTAAATATATGGTTCAAGGATAATGCATCATAATGAGTAATTATATGGTTCGAGGATAATACATCAAGATTAAATACCCTTAAGGCCTTAATTAATACCCTTGACAATTATTGTCATACATAATGGCTTTCTCCATATTATTTGTTGAATAAGGAAACATGCATCCATTTTTTAGGCAACACGGTTTATGCATTAATTATCTTCTCCGGCCGAGTTAGAGCATCTCTAATGGTTCCTCCCAAGAACTTGCTTGCAATTTTTTAAAATTTTTAAGCTAGTAGCCTACCATTGGAGTGCATAATACCTTCTAGCTTGGACAAGCAAATTAGCCAAAACAAGCTACATGCTAGAAAGGAGAGAAAATTGAACTAAAATGGTAACTCCCAAATATATTTAATTTATCGATAATTGATATACTAATCTAAATAAAACAGCAACAATAATGTTCAAAGTGGTTTCAATTTATTACCGTTAATTAAAGATGTGCAACGATAATGTTCACAGTGATATCAGTATGCATGTTTTTGAGCACATTTTTTATTCCTTATTTTATTTTGTTACTTAACAAAATACATACTATCCTCCGTTTGTGTGCCATGATGCAACATAGCATCATGGCACACAAATTAAGAAACATGGATAAAATAATTGGTTTCCCTTTGTACCCTTATATAATACAATACGGAGTAAGAAAAACTCCCTTCAGCCCTCCTGCCCCTCCATGCCCTCATATGGTCTAGACTCTAGAATCTAGAAAAGCACAACAGCACCTACTACGTAGAATAGAACAACTATCCTCTCCAAACCCATCGGCCATCTCTGTTTCCTCGTCGTCGGCGTTCATCTTCAGCCTCACAACCTCAATGGCGGTCTGAAGAATTAGATCCCACAAATCGATACTAAAGTCAAACGGGGTTGTCGTAGAAGAAATCTAGGAAGGCCTGTTTGGGTAAGTTCGGCTGACGGAAGGTACTCTTCCCAATTTCTTAGTAGAGCCGACCAGAGAAGAGCTGAGGTCCTGGGAAACTTAACATTGAAACTTATGTCAAGGTTAGACTACCAGATTTCACAAAAGATTCCGTCAAAATATCCTAGTCTGAAAAGAAATTCGGTGACCGCATGAAATCCAATTGAGATTTTCTTTATCAGCCAGATCTTAAGAGAAGAGGATTTGAAAGATGTGGTGAGGTTGAAGAAGGTACATGTGGGTGGATTCAGAAACCGATGAAATTGGAGAGGGGTGGCTGATAGTGAAATAATTAAGGGTAGTAAAGGCAATTCCACTCACTTTTATATCCTAAAATAGAAATGTTGCAATTATTTTGAAACTACCCAAAAAGGAAAGTGTTGCAACTAAAAAAGAACGGAGGGAGTATTTTTCTACTAATTTTAATAATATGGATTCACCCTTGTCGGCTTAATGTTTGGTCAAAGTCATAGTTGACGACCAACTTGATCAATCTGTCAGAAGTTTGGTTATGTTTGCTTGTCAACTTGATTGATTGAAAGTATTTCAAAATAAATACTCCGTATTATTTTTATTATATTAACAATAAAATTCATTCAAAATGTATATTTCAAAATTGATTGATTTGTGGGGCCTATTCAAGAGGCAAGCATTGTAGCTAACCATTGGACTACCACATTGATGGAAAATGGATTAGCTAAAAAAATGATGTGGCAAGCAAAACTACAACGTGATTAGCTAACCGCTGGAGATGCTCTTATAGTTCTTAACATCCCCATAGGGCCATAACATCAAAGTGTCCCGCTCGATTAAAGCTAAAATCTTGCTGAACTAAAAATACAACCATGAAGGGATGCCAGGAATAGTAAATTTTACATCAAAGGTGATCACATGTAAATGATTTACCTGCATGTTTCAATTTTTGTGGCCTACTCAAATACTCAAATCATTATTATTATTCTGGTAAAATATCGTACTCAATCATTAGTTTCAACGTTAGATCAATAAACAAATTATATTTTGTAATTTTATCACGTACTCTATTTGATTGTATACAAAAGCTTGCCTCACTTATATAGCATTTCAAGCAGTTACATGATGTACACAAGTTAGTTAAAAACTTGAAACCTGCACTCCTTTACAGTAATGCTTCTAAAAACGACACTAAAAGCTCAGTTTATTTTGACCCTAACAGCAATGAAGTACAGGCATACTCACACAGCAATAACATCTCCATTTTTGGAGTGGAGGAATTGCAATGAATATTGTTGGAAGTCCACATGAATTGCAATGAATATACAATCATGAGTTGCTATAAACATTGCAATTTGGGAATGACCATCGAGGTGAACATCTGGATAAATGAAAATTGGACATTGGATCTTAAAATTAAACAATGATGTGAGAAATTGCAATGCATAAGTAAATGAGTAATCGCTATATGCAGTTCCATGCATTCCAAATCTTACCGATTGTTTTATAAAACCCACAACAACGACAAGATCCAGCCCCACACTTTTCCAGCACAGTTAGTGCACGTTTTCTGTGCCATGACACAGGTATATGATGCCCAGTTGAGTAAATGAGTAATTGCTATATGCAGCACCGGTGTGTATTGCAAATCTTACCCACTGTTTAGTAAAACACGCGGGGCGCAAGACCTAGTATCATTCTTTTTCATCGCTGTAGTGCACATTTTCCTGTGCAAAAACACATGAGTATGATGCCCACTTAACTAAAGGTAAGAAAAGAGGTAAAAACACATTTTCTTACAAGTATTTATTCATGCCCAAGAAAACCAAGGTAATTTTCTGAAGTAAATGGAGATGACTGATTCAGAGATAAGGATAGGTAAAGGGAATTACAGAAATCACAAACCCCTTCTCTTCTGAACTGCAATGAAATTCAGCCCCTCATCCAAGTGTGATGCAATAGACAATAACAAGACATTCAGTAATGTTATCATTCAAGCAATATGCAATATGCACGCATATAATCTCAGTGCTTGAAGACATCTAATTGGATGATATGGATTCTCTACAACAAATTTAATTCTTTTGAATAGTAGAATATTGTTGAATCATTTAAAAGTTCTCCCTTACGTAAAAATAGTGACTAAATAATCCAAACATTTTGCCATAGGAAAAAGTATGATAGTATCTATTCTGTAGTTGTGGGGTGTAGCAACAAGTTTATACGTCAAAAAAGTTTTGAAAGCTGTAAATAAGATAATTTGACATGCGATTAACTTTATTTAATAAGACCAGGAAAAGAAATGAGAACCATGCTAGCATCATTTTCATTTACCCCAGTGCCGCAAAGGCTCTCACCTACGGTGGAGTAAGGGGGGTCGAATGTACGCAATTTTACCCCTGTACTAAAGCACAGAGAGACTGTTTCCGGATGACCCATAGTGAAAATCGCGTCCAAAATTGCATGGACTGACTACTGCTTCATAACAAAGAAGAGCAGACAGTTTAGTGAGCCATTTTGCTTTATTCCATCATATTATCAAGCCAAAAAATAATGAATCTTTGGCTCCATTGCAAATAATACCATGCTAGCATATAAGTATAAAACTAGTATATATCTATGTAAAAGTACAAGACTGAGATCAAACTTTTATTTGATTAACTACCATCATCAAATACATGGAATGATAAATGACGACACAAGAGTCTAATGATAAATTGTGAATTTGCAATTCTCTTAAAGCAAGAAGATTATTCCAATGGCAAAACCCTGAACTTTGGATCAGCATGACAAGATAAAGTGCACACTATGCAAAACATATTTGTAGTGGTAATTGTACGAACTAATCTATGTGATTGTAACCTAATAATACTTGCTTGGTTTAATCCTGCTGATAGGATACTAATAGCCCTTACAGCACATCCTATTATATCTCTCAATGTATGTGACACCTTTCCTAATGTATAACACTGTAACTTGGGATATTCTCTACGTTTCCTATGGAGTGCACTAACTGCCCACAACCCTCGTTATTTTGGTCATTTGAAAGTTTGACAAAATCAAACATTCAAACTCTCTGTTTTCACTTGACATAATCTTAAGGATTCTTTTATTACAATTAATAAATTGTTTAATAATCTTTGCCTCTTGGATTTGACAGGCTAGTAAACTTATTAGTGAAGTGGTAACGTCTTCATAAGGATTATTGTATAGAGCCAAGCATTAAATACAGAACCCCTTTCCTACTACAACATGTGATCAAGTCCATTGAGTTAGATAATGTTGCATGCTCCATCAAAAAACTTGAATATCAAATATCCTAATAACTTATTAACACATTTTATATATTTAATAAAAATAGTATTCTAATTTATAATATTATATTACGTGCTCCATCAAAAACACTTTTATGCCTAATTTGTTATAGTTAAGTATAATAAAATAAATAATACAAAATAAATACAAATAAATATATATACAAACACACAAATGATCCTGTCCGGACGTCCGGACAGGAACCGCCGTCCGGCCGGCGGCGTTTGGCCGCCTTCCCGGTGGAATTTTTTGATGAAATTTTTATGGCATGTTCTCCATCAAGTCTAGTTTATCCACAAAAAAATTCAGCCAAAAACTCAATCGGGAAGGTCGTCAAATGATTTTTGCAAGTTAACTGGTCCGGAATATGTATTTTCCGGACCAGTTAACTTGCAAAAATCATTTGACGACCTTCCCGATTGAGTTTTTGGCTGAATTTTTTTGTGGATAAACTAGACTTGATGGAGAACATGCCATAAAAATTTCATCAAAAAATTCCACCGGGAAGGCGGCCAAACACCGCCGGCCGGACGGCGGTTCCTGTCCGGACGTCTGGACAGGATCAGGACTCTATACAAACATATATATACACATATAAATAGGCCGGCCTGTTAAGCTAAAAAGGCTTTAGAACTGGGCTAAGTCTGACCTGTTTACCCAAAGGGGCTTTTTGAAAAGCCCAAGCCTTGCTTGTTTATTAAACAGGCCAGGCCACGGGCCCCTGACAGACCGCCTGGCCTATTCCCACCCCTAAATAAGGGTAATGGTTAAAAATGATAAACAAACAAAATCTTTAAATCTCAAAACCGAAGGTTATTTGAAATATAAAAGAGAATGATGGGAGTAAGTGGCTGTAGTGCTCTACATAGCATACACCCACTCGAAAGAGACCTGACTTCACCTGTCTTTGAGTCTCCTGGCTGGCAAGTAGCTCATCCATACCCATACTAAGCGCCCCAGCGATAGAGGAGACACGCCATGCTGTTGACACGCCTATTGAGCACCACTAATTGCATACTCCATGAATGTTGATAACTCCCTCATCCCTTCTAGCCCGATAATTCAATAGACAGACTAGAGTGTAATGATGCATTCAGTAATGGGATGACACAACTTCGAAGCATATGTCATTGAACGTTTTTCACAACTAGCAAGATCTGACATAAAACTAAAACAGTTCAGAATCATAGAAGCACTGTCGCTAAGAAAATCAAGCACTCCATGGCTCCATCCCAAAAAATCATGTTTCGAAAGCACTATTGTCCCCAAAAAAAAGTTTTTTGTCCCAAACAAGAGTCCATTTTTATCAAATGAAGCTAAATTTTCATTTTATTTACCAAAAGATGGTCAAAAAAATTACAAACAAGTTAATATAAATATGATATATTCAGTTAAGCCAACAAATAAATTTATAAATACAAATACAATGCATGCAAAAAAAAATCTTTATCTATTATTGCCATTGATGAGAAATGATACCGTACTTGTAGACTTACACAGGAGACCCTCACGTTTTACCCTTAATTCGTACTCTTCTGGCCTTGAACAAGCCACTGCATAATGCCATCATATGATTATCAGGTTCTATTCCCTTATCCATCATCTCATTCACGAGACTGGCAGCCCTCTCTATACGCCCATGCCTATAAAATCCACACAGGAGGGCAGTGTATGTAACATTATCGGGTTCTACACCTCTATCAATCATCTCATTGAATAACTGAATAGCCTCTTCAAGGCTATCAGATTTGCAATGACTATCGATCAAAGCGGTGTAGCATATTACATCAGCGGTCAACCCCATCTCCTTCATTTCACGCTGAAGAGCATGAACAGTTTTATCAGTTTTGTTCCATCCCCCCGCATGGAAAGATGACCCTGTCCCTTTTAAACCCTTGGAATGACCATCAAGCATAACTGTGTACGTGACCACATCTGGAGATATTCCCCTACTTATCATGCTCTCAAAAAGATTGTGTGCCTCCTGTAAGCAGTTAACTTTACAATAACCATTCAACATCATGGTATAAATAATTACATCGGGAGTTAACCCTCTCCACAACATATTATCAAACACCAACCTAGCTTTCTTCATCTCCCCAGCACGACATAAAGCGGCTATTATATGGTTGTACATCGACATACACGGGGCATTGCTTGAAGAAGATAGTACTATCTCAAATATACCTAGAGCCTGATTGTATTCACCTTCCACACAAAGAGCAGTCATTAGTTTCATGCCAGAACTCCTCCTTATAGACATACCTTGTTTGGACAGCATTAGAAAGAGCTTATAAGCTTTACTTGTATTCCCTGACCGACAATATCCATTTATCATGGCAGCACAGTTTTCTATGGTTTTACACTCAAGATTATCAAAAAATAATTCAGCTTCCTTCACCATATGTCCCACGCAAAGACCCTCAATAATGACATTATATGTAACAGTGGTCGGTGTTAAACCTTGTTCCTTCATATAATCCAGTAAGCTAAGTGTCTCTTGAACCAAACCATTTCTGGAAAGCCCGCCTAGAAGCACATTATATGTAACCACATCTGGTTCCGGTCCTTTTTCCTTAATTTCACTAAATAATGAAAATGCGTCCAATAACTGTCCGCTTCGGCAATAACCATTCATTAAAGTGCAGTAGTGCACAATGTCTGGTGTCATCCGCTTATCCTTCATCTCGTCTAACAACTTCAAAGCCTCTTTGAACTTTCCCAGCTTGCATAGTGCATCAATTGCAACATTATAAACAACCTCATCAAGAAAAACTCCAAGCTCCTTAAAAATGTTGAATTGTTCAACAACCTCAGATGTCATCCCGTTCTGGCACAAACACTGAAGAATAGAGCTAACAATCACACAATTAGTTTTAATGCCCTTTCTAGTCATCTCATTATGGACATCCAAAGCATTAGTGATTTTCCCTGCCTTGCAATAAGCATGAATTAGCACCCCGTGAGTATAATCATCAGGGACAAGACCTTGTTCTTCCATATCGAGTAAAAGAGACTGTGCTTCTGAAAACTTCCTTTCTTTGACTAATCCACGAACAACGACAGTAAAAGGAAATGCATTGAGGGGTACACCCGTCTTTTTCCATTCTTGTAACACTACATAAGCCAAAGATGAGTGGCCGTGCAAGCAAAGGCCATTGAGATACGCGGAATAAGTGAATTCATTAGGAATTACACCCAATTCCTCCATTTCCCCCAAAATACTAGATGCTTCTTCCAAATTCCCATTTTTACAAAGGGCTTTAATCACAATTCCATACGTGTAAACATTTGGGTTAAACCCAAGCCTCTTCAATTGCTTATAAACAGCCACAGCCATATCCACTTTCCCATACTCAACAAGTCTGTTCATCAAAAAATTACAAGACAGTAATCGTGGACTAAAACCACGTCTCCTAGTAAAAATGATATTAATGGCCTCATCAAACATGCCCAAACTCACATAAGCCTTGACCAGTGCATCTAGGGTCCGGATTATAGAATCAGGGCTCTCACCATAGAGATCTTCCATCAATGCCTCAAGCAATTCTGCCATATCGAAACCCAAACTGTCATTATCTGCTTTTATCACCTCCAACAATATAGAATCTAATCTCATATCCATACCCCAATGACAAAGTATATGAATGATTGCCACGAAGGTATCAACGTTGCACTTCAACCCACGATCCTTCATTTTCCGGAAGTATGATAATGCAGAAATTGGTTTGTTTCTTAGTTTGTAAAGCATTTCTGCAGCCCCATACGAGCTTACTTCAGAACAATCTTGGGCTAAATCAGAAGTGGTGAAATTACTGTTTGAATTTTCTCCATCAGAACTAGAATAATCTGAGATATAGCTCAGCTGCGCAAGTGCAGAGAATGGTTTGACTCGAATTGAAATAACACTTTTGAAATTTTTTCTCTTCCATACAGACCTCATTGCCCGCAGTGGCGGATCTAGCACACCTGCATTTTAAGTGTTCAGAATTACTTTACTATAAAAATTAAGAACAATGATATTATGTGATGCCATAATTCTACAATTGTATATTTGTCAATAAAAAAACTAGTGTATTGAGTAAACAACAACGCATAATATAATTATATACTCAGTATTAATCAAATATAATAAATCACTATAATTGTTCTATTATATGTTGCTTTATGCCAAACCTGCCTAAATAATTACACTGATATTAAATAAGCATTTCAAATATAAAGTAGACTTATCTTCAACAATTCAACAAACCATTGCAATTATACAAATAAATTAAGCAAACAACCATACAAATCTTCACAAAACAACAAACTATAATACAGATTAAGTATCCTGGTATCTAAAAGAGATGGACTAATATATTGAGGTGATCTTACTCATACTCATATTAAGCATCACTCATACTCATACTCATTTCTCCTCTAATTCCTTATTTCCTTCCTCTCCTTTTAATGAAAATTATTTAAGCATAAATAGCTAAAAGGGCCGACCTTTAATTCAATAATTTGTATAGAATCAAAGATTCACCGAAATCCACTACCCACATATATTTACCTAAAAATAGATCTCCCAACATCTCCCCAATCTGGATTCTCAATTAACTCAATCAACCGAAAGGCAATTAGGCAAACAATGGGAATTTGGATCGATCCAATTTCCAGATTAGGCTTAAAATAAATCCAGTCGTAATTGCTAAATAAGGCAAGCCTGTGAGGATGGACTAACCAGGAGTTCAAGAGATCGGGATGCTAGAGCGAGGTTTGGAGGCTGGCCACAGGAGCAAGTGAGCGAGGTTGCTAGGATAGCAAGACAAAGGACCCGATATTGAACTTCGGAGCCTCGGAGATCTAAAATTAACAGCGAGTGGAGACACTGCAATAGCCAACAATGCGAAGAGTCGAAGACAGTGACAGGGACTTGTCGCTGGCGTCTTGTGAGGTGGAGGAGCAAGCTGGGAGCAGCTAGGTCTGTAAACTAAATGAGTCAAGTTGTTCCTTGTTATTTTTCAAGTCCCAACAACCTCAGTGAGTCACGTTGTTCGAAAAAAGTTTATTTTCAAATAAAAATGTGTAGGTGATGGAACTAAATCCACATGTTATCAGTGGGATAATAGGATGGTGAATTTTATAAGTAATAATCTAGTGATAGGAGATGATGTGATCGTATTATACAATTCGGCAAATTGTAAACTGCATACCAGGAAATGCAGCGATGGCCCTTCATGGATCCTCCATCTTTCAATATTCTTCCTAACTTCTTGTTTCATGACCTTGACTATTGTGAAATTCAGGACAACTACATATTCAAGAACACCACACAATAAGTCATCAATAAACCGTTGAACCCTAATTTTTAATTCTTTAATCCAAGCACACAAGCCTAACCAAAATAACAGATGGTTGCAATATTGAATTGCTAAGCAATGAGGGTATTTCTATCTCAATAAGTTTGTATCCTGGATTAAAATATATCAGTATTAGACAATATTTACAGGGTCTTTTTTAGGGCTCAGTTATTAAGACTTGGGGTTTTATATTTAAAGTTTAAATCATTTTGGACTAACCAAAAGCTTGTTATAGTGAAATTTTTTATATTTTCCCCATCCCTTTCAATTTCTTAGAAATGTCAGTTTTAGAGTTAGATTAAATTTTCAATTTCTTCTTGGATATTTTTTCTATTCTGAGGTTAAATGATGTTATTATTCCTACCATCTAATTAAAGAATACTATGAAATATAACTGGATGAACTATCAATTACTCCCTCCGTCCCGCTATGATTGTCCCATCTTTCGTTTTCGGTTCCTCCAACTAAGATTGTCCCATACTAAATTGGTAAAGTTTGTGTGGTTCTATATCATTCTTACTTTATTCTTACTTTATCAATTCAATATCAACCACATAAATCCACTTTCTTAATAACTGCACCACCTCCTCATGTCCCAATGTTAGTGGAACAAAGGTAGTATATTTTTTTCCAATTTTTCCTAACATCTACGGGCGCATCTATCGTGGTTCAACCTAATAATAAATGGCAGCACACAATAATAAGTAACATCAATAAGGTCAGAGAATGCATTTTTTAGAAAATGAATTTTCATCAAATAGTGTTGAGTTTTGCTCAGCTCTAAAGATGATTAAAAAGTACACTGTATGTGCTTCCAAAGGTGATGCTTTTGTATACTATGCAATAATGTAAAAAGATATAGGTGAAGAAGCTAACTTAAGAATGAGACTGTCTCAATTATAAGTTCTGATAACACAAACCCATAAATAAGCCTATACAATTGTGAATGGTAGAATAAGACTATTTAGATACCCTTTTAGGATGTTTAAAGGGCTTAAACGACTATTTAAATTCGTCTAGAGACTGCAGACCAGTATAATAGAAACCCGAAAAAAATGACTACATAAATCTATTTTTGGATCTCCTCATTGTGCAAAAACTATTCAGTTTCCATTGTAAAATGGCTGAACCAATGATCAACTGTATCCAATAATGCAGTTTTTTTAGCTCGGAGACCATATTCCTTTGGAAAAAGCAAACACAGTGGCTAAGGGTAAGACACATGAACTCTAAGAGAGTATAGTCACATGAATAAATAATCTCACACTGTTAGATATTGTCTTATATAGTTATATCCATTACACATTTCAGTATTTCATCACGCACAACTCAATAGCAGAATTCAAGTTGGGCATTAATAAAATAATGAGACAAAGTGTATTAGCTTCCGGATAAAAGCTTTTTTGTCAAAGTTTCCATATTTACACCAGCCTAAAGATAGTTTAGTACAGAAACTATGAGTTCCCCGTGACATAGAGAAAGAAGAAATATGAGAAGCTAGATAATGGAGATCTGAGACGTGGGATATTAAATCTTCTCTGATTGTGTAGGAGAAAGTAGACATTAATCCCTCAGTCCCTCACAAGTGAAGATCCAAAGGGGTTGCTCATTGCGGAGCTCACTTGGTAAACAAAATGAGAAACAACAGGGTTAACCTTTTCATAAAGGCATAAACTAACGTGTTCAAACCATACATGCATGTGTTTAGAGTTCAAATGCATATGTATTGAATACCATTCACAATTATTATAATTCCATCCAAGTGAGTGCACTAAGAATCAAATCTCTAGCACTTGAAAACTACATAAATTGATTTTTATCTATTACAGACATCACAACTACTGGTTACACTAAACTACACACGGTATTTCTCAAGTCTAAAGTTGTAGATACAGTTATTTAATAGTTTAAATAAAGATGTATAAATGACGGGAAAGTTCACATTTTAAAATTATTTAAAAATATTGTTAAACTTAGTGAATAAAACATTAGCTAGGCATGACGTTCTTTGACCTTAGCGAATTCATCAATGACCAACTCAACATCAATTTTGTTGGCATGTTCTTTTTCAATAAAGATGTATAAATGATGGGCAAGTTCACATTATTAATACTACGTATTAATATGACTAGTTTTCTCACGCGCGTAGCGCGATATAAAAATGCCCAATCTTCTTTTGAATAAACACATTATATACATTTTTAAGAATAAAGTCAACAAACAAACAAAATGAATAAAACTAAAGATTGCAAGGAAAAAACAGAAGCTGAGTTTAGTATGTTCTTAATTGAACAAAACTACCACTCATTCCATGGAGTAGAAACGAAGTTTGGTATATAGTGTTCAAAAAATGGTATTGTTTCATTGCTATAGGGCAGATAAAAATCAGATCCTTAGGGCATGCCTTAATACTTGGACTGAAACATATATATTATATACTTACGGTAGAAAAAGGCTATCGAACCAATTCTATATGGGGGTAAACTTATTCATAAAACTGTGGGATACATTGTGTTAGTAGCCAAATCCGAAATTAGACTTAAAAATAGCTATTCCGTCTTCCCAAAATGGTCCCTCTTTTAAGTAATCTGAAATAAATCCCACCTTTCTATTCCGTCTTCCATGTTCGGTCCCAATGACTTGTTACCCGTTAAAATTTTGAAATCACAGTTGGAAAGCTATTATTGTAGTTTTACTTTATTATTATTTATTTACCTAAAGTCTACAATTAAAAAACCTTGAGCGTCACACTTAGTCTTTCTTGAAGGCTGGTAGAGGACGACACTGGAAGACGGTGAGCACGGCAAGGGGGACTGCGGCGAGGACGAAACTGGGGGACTGCAGCGGGACTGGACTGGGGGATTACAGAGAGGATTACGGCATCTTCCCACATGCTGTGGTTGCATTGAATTCTGGAATTTGACCTACTGAAGAAGAACCACAACGGCACAACCTTGTGGAAATCGTTTCTCATACAAACTAAAAATAGAGAAGCTAGAGAGGTAGTATTTGACTTAATCCAACCTAAAATTGCTCTCAGAGATTTAAGAGCTCTCTAATTATCCAAACAGCTAATCCATTATGGTAACTCTAAAAAGTAGAAAATCAAAACCAGTCAAAGATTAGGGATATATATGATAGAATAAATACGAACAATGATATGAATGATGTGTTTACCTTAATTGATCTTCCTTCCCCTTTTCTCTTTCTCCTTATCTCTAAGCGATCGAATAGGAGATATTCTCTGTCAAGTAAAGTAATCCTTCATGAGTTCGAGGAGTGAAGAAAATTCTCAATCTGCAATATAATTGATAATTGAGTGAAGAAGGAATCGGCCGATTCTTGTAGAATAACAGAGTAAGAGCGATGACTACTGGAGAGAGTAAGACTGCATACGTTATAAAGAGAAATACAGCGTTTCCAATTTTACAGGTTAATTACCTGCAGCAGCGGGTAAACACCAGGTTGGGACCAAACATAGAAGACCGAATAGAAAGGTGGGATTTATTTCAGATTATTTAAAAGAGGGACCATTTTGGGAAGACCGGTTAAAGGTGGGATTATTAGAATCAATTTTTCCTATTAAAAAAAGATGACTAATAACCATATGTGGCAATGCCTACCGATTAGGATCTTTATTGCTATGAGAATATACAAAGATGTTATCCACAAAGCTAATGTACAGTTTGAAGAGAAAAAAGGATGTTCCAACAGCAAATTTAGATACTCTCTGTTAACAACATGGATAGAATACCAACTAAAACATGAAGGAAAATTGCTATGAAATGCAGAAAGAGTCTGCATCAATAACATGCGGTTTTTTTCAGAAAATATCCTTAAATGCAAAAAAAACTGCCTAAATTGCTAAAGAATGGATATAAATATTTTTTAGGCAAAGAAGAACAAATCTGCAGCCATAACATTCTGATCTTTGCAGATTAATCTGCCTAACATGCTAAAGTAAGTGTCTAAATGTTGAGATAAGGATTGCCAATCAAATGAAGAAAACAGTGATAAAATGTGCATGAAAAAAATCTACAGAATTTGGTTAAAGTCTTATGATTCAAAGTATTCACCCCATAGTCTGCAATACTCAGGACATGACACTCAGCAATATGCTGAAGCAAACTTACCTAAAAGTCAAAGTCATGTTAGCTGGGGAGTATTCAATATAAACAAAATATGAAATCATAGAGTTACTTTTATGACAACCCAAATACATATCAAAACTACATTTATCACCCCAGACACTTGCATTACGAACTTCCACCAATGTATTTCTTGCCTTACCGAAATATGAAATTCTGTAGACTTATTTTCAGTTAGTTATGTACATCTCTTTAAGGTGATAGACTTATAACTACTGTGGTGTATATATTTATACAAATTTGATTCAAAGTTCTAGTGATTCCACCCACCTAAAGTCTATGTACCCGCACTTCCAAAACGACATAAATAATAAACTCATAAGTGCAAATGATTCTTATTTTTGTATTTCATTTTATTAGGTTTATATACATACACTGATACACATGGTTTAAGTGAAGTTGTAAGAACACATAATGTTCCTATTATGATTTAAACCTTAGTAGAACCAAAACTCTTAACTCAAAAATTTGCATCCATTAAAAAAAATACATGCTGCAAGGTATGATTTCACCATCTCCTAAATATTTAGAATTCAGCCTATTCAATATCAAGAATCTCATTAAACTGAATCATTATTTACTTTTAGAGTTTTACTATCTCTACTTAATATAAGATTTATGTTATTGATGAACTGGACAACAATATCTCCTTCAGGCTAGGTTTAATTAGACATCCTTAAGATTATTTAATTGAAAACTTTAATATATTACTTGGGGTGGCTATTAGAAAATGCATATTGGAGAAGACTAATTCAGATGGCCAAATCCAACATAGAACCTTATTGCATTACTATTGTGTATTCTTAAAATGTTTAATTTTTACATAAAAAAAATATTCACCCCAGAATACTCTAAGTTCAAAAATCCTAACTTGGAATAAGAACTCAGGATATTCCAAACTTTGAATATCCTCAACATTTGAAGGAAATCAGACCTATAAGGACCTGCAATGTGCAGAACAAAATCACTTTCAAAGAAGCCTTGGATCAACTTTTCTAGAGAAATCAATCATGAGCTTATAACTATGGTGGCACCACATGCATTCTTCATTTCTCTTATTTTTATATGAAGGCTCTTTTAATGTGTGCACTTTTAAATCTACTTCCTTCAGGCTTATACTAAAGTGTTATACAGAGCTAAATGCAGTCTAAGGGTCACTCTAAGGGTCATAGCAAGTTGATCTCTTTCTTTACAAATAATACCATTGGATATTTATGTGTTATAAGGTTGGAAACGATCAAAAAATACATTAATACTACTTCTAAAAACCTACATAATACTACTTATAACTCAATTTAGTATATTAACAAACTTCTAAAATCAATCTAGCAACTAAAACTAATTCTTGAATCACTAAACACGATTTTTTCTAGGCGCTCTGCTGTTCGTATGAATTACCTCATATATATCAATATGATATTATTCGACCAGAATAATTTAAGCCTAACCTTACTCAAATCCTATAGTAAGAGTTCATCAATCAGCAATTAAACATTATCTAAACACTAATAATTGAGTGCATGTCCCTTGGATCATCCACGAGACGACAACCTCCTCCCAAGCTCCACACTCGGTCAGTTACCGACCAAAATCCTTTGAAAGTTAAATAAAATGGCACATAGATGCAATTTTCCTTGTTCTGTTTCACATTTTAGCTGCTAAGAATCACATTCATTTCAGCATGTGCGGTAATTACTTGTCTCAATATGTTGTTCAATGAAAACTGTCTGCCCGTTATATCCTTGCACATGAAATTGAAATACATGACTCTTATTTTTATGTTTCTTTAGTTAACAAACGTGACTTTAAATTTGACCGTATGAAATGTCATAAGCTGCATAACAACAACTCTGTAAACAAGCACACAATGTTGATGAAACATTATTTGAGTACTAACCAGAAGACATGTGAAACAAAGAAAGCATAAGAAATGCGGCAACGAGTGTAAGACTTACCAGACAGAGAACAAGAGTAATATAGTGGCCTGAAAGGGAAAATAGAAACATACTGGACGGTTGGCACCACAAACGGTAACAATCGGAGCAGCTCAGTGAGGGGTTAGGGTGCGGACGGGCCAGGTGCATGATAGCAGCAGGGCTGTGAGCCGCTGAGACAAAGGAGAGGTGTATTCAACCTAACAATATGCATCTGGAACGGAACGGACGAAAGGGAGATTGGAAGGGATTGGACGGAAAAAACGGGAAAATAGGTTCCTTTAATAGACTACAAATGCTAAAACACAGTGTACTATGAAGCTACATATTTACACCAATGTTTTTTTTCATTCCTAAAATGCCTGCAATTATAAGATTCTAAGATTAAGATCAAGATATTATGTTAAGAAATTTACGATCCCTAATGTTCAATTCACAATTGGAATCAGAATAATTCACCATAACATTTTCAAAAATCAATAAATCATCTCACAAATTAGTAAAATATTTAAATTAATTAAAATTAAATTACAAAACTTACCCAGTGTCGAGTCTGAGAGAGAGGCAGAAAGACTGCCGACTGGCAATGGAGGGCAAGAAGGCAGGAGGCTGCAAATGGGAGTCTTGGCCTGCGGGCAACCCGGTTATCAGTTCAGAGAGTGGCGGTGGGCGGCCACTGCGTCTCTAGTCCCTGCGCTCTGGCTCGGTGTCTTGCCGCTTGCGCGCTACCGGGAGAGTGAAGAACCGAAGAAGAAGTTTCCTGGGTTTGGGAATTCTGGTACAAACCGGGCAAGATTATTTTGGACTGGGACTGACTCTAATTGCCCTTGGACCAGGCCCCGTCCCTCCGCCCCTGGTGGAGACGCTGCAAGGACTTCCCACTGCCGTCTTGCGAGGTGGAGGAGCAAGCTCCGACCGGCCAGGGCTGCTAAGTGAGAGTTGAGGTGTGAAGGAAATCAAAACGACATCTTTTTTTCATGTGAACCCTCACAAGTTTTAATATTTTTAAGGAATTAAAACGCTCCTCCGCGCACCGCAAAACAATATGGTTCCTTAAATTTTGTTTTAACTTTTTTTAAATGATTATCTTTAAAATATGATCAAAAACTTCATATAATCAGGATTATTAATTTTAACTATATAAATATCTGTAACACATTTTAATGCTTTATTTTTTTATTTTACAATTTTCTTTTTACAATGGATGATGATTTTGAGGATTATCTAAAATATGCTCCGTAGTAATCTTGAATTTCAGACTAACGAGATATTTGTTTATCCTAATTCATTCATGCTAGTCAATTCATTTGTCTTGTTATTTGTATTTTAGTTTTTTTTTTATCTATTTAAGCCTTGTTTTATCTGGACTGAACTAATCTGATCGGTCTATGTGTATAATACAATTGTCAAAATCTGGTGTGATATATTAAAACTAATAGCTTATCTTTTTTATCTTTATTTTCTTTCTTTTCCTTTTGGTGATAATGTGATATCATATATCGATTCATGTTAGCCGACCCCATTATCGTTTGGGACTAAGGCTTGGATGTTGTTGTTGTTGTTGTTGTTGTAAGGATGTTTTAAATTGGACTTATTTCAATCTCATACCAGACCAAAATCAGACCAGTCGGAATAGACCAGACTTTAACATACTAAACTAAACCAAACTAGACAAGTAAATTTCAGTCCAGGTAAAAACATTTCAAGTCTTGTTTAATCTAGGATTGAAACGGTGAAACCAGTCAAAGTAAAAACATTCTAGATTATGTTAAACACTTAATCAAAAAACGAATATACTTTTTCAAAAAGTTTAAGGAAAAATAACTTTAAATAATATGAACTACGGAGTATCATCCACAAACCAATAATAATATGCACTTTGAAAATAAATTTTAATAATACCAACTATTTGAATGTCAAACAAAAATAATATGGAGTAACTTTTTGATAAGAATTTGGGTGATTTAAGACATAAAAAACTTATGGCAATCCATCAAATAAATGATATTTGAAAATACATTCACTTATTAGATATTTTGATACAAGTTTTTTATAGGGAAAACTATCAAATAAGCCCCCGTACTGTGCCGAAAAGTCGATTAGGCCCTCGTACTTTACAAACACTCAATTAAGTCCTCGAACTATTAAAAAACGTTCCATTGAGCCCTTTTGGTCGGTAAGTAACTAGTTTCCCGGTTAAACGGAGACGACAGCGACGATGTGCTCGGACCCCAGCAACAACGGCTGCCGGGAAACGGGTTACGTTTTACCGAGAAACCGGTTACTTACCGACCGAAAGGACTTAATTGAACGTTTTTTAATAGTTCGAGGACTTAATTGAGTGTTTGTAAAGTACGAGGGCCTAATCGACTTTTTCGATATAGTACGGGGGCTTATTTGACAGTTTTCCCTTTTTTATAAGAAAAATGGTGAAATTTTTAAATAGAAATTGCTCCCTATATCATTTTTGGTCTAAATTTTAGTAGTTGATAATATTAAAACTTATTTTCAAAGTATGTGTTAATTTTGATTCATGGAAGATAGTTTGTATTATTTAAAGTTATTTTTCAATTTTAAATATGTAATATTGATGTGATATAAAAAAATTGTATAAATTTATTGTATGACCTTAATATATTTTTTTTTATAAAAATCAAATAAAAATAAAAAAATCATAATGATAGTTTATGAAAGAAAACATTTGCTACCAACGTATAGTTTATGAAAATTGTATAAAAGTCCATTTATTAAAAGAAATTGCCAATGTACAGTGTGAAGATGAAATCACTTGCTCCGTATTAGTTACTCGGCACAAAAAATTAAAGAGGGCAAAATGGTCTCTACGTGATTACATTAAGCAATAATGGGGGTGCCCTCAGCAACCCCAATTAAAACGAAAAGGATTATCTTGGCGCACCCAACAAATCATTTTTTGGACAATTATACCCTTCTCTGCTGCTTCTGGAAATGCAGTTGCCGTAGACGGGTAATCAGCTCCGAAACGAAATCTTTTTTCTTGCAAAAAAAAAACATCTTTTTTTTTTAACTCGCTGAACTGCTCAGCGTCGGCTGGCGTCGCCGACAGGCCAAGACTCTCATTCCGGCCAGTCGCCTGCTGTGCCCTGCTCCACAGCCTCCAATTCTTATGCTTTTATACAGAAGATAGATAGATTGGTAGATTTGGGGTTTTCCCTTTTTTGCAGAAAGTAATAACTGATGTAAAGACAACCATACATGCTGCTTCGACGCATGTACTATTTCATACCTTCCCTATCGAAACCCTCATTGTTATTCTCTCCTCATTCCAAAATCTTGGCTCATATTCCCCTTAAGCTTGGCAATGCTGAAGCCTGGCGGGCAATTCAATCCTCCTTGAACAGACCGAACCATTTCTCTACAGTCTTGCCTCTTATCCAAGAAGAAGATACAGTAACCTCTTCCAAAAAGATGACAAAAAAGGCGCGACGTGAAGCTCCTGAAAATGTTTTTCGGTTTAAACTACAGCGTTGCTCAAAAAGTGGTGACTTGAAAGAAGCTCTGCGCCTTTATCACGAAGCCAAGTTGAATGGAGTTGAATTAAATGTAAACCATTATAATTCTTTGCTCTATTTGTGTTCGGTTTGGAGTTCTAAAGATGATGCAGAATCCAAAGAATTCGGCATTCAGGAGGGTTTTGATATTTTTAGGATAATGGGGTTGAAGAACATTCTTCCAAATGAGGGTACGTTCACTAATGTTGCAAGGTTAGCTGCAGCTAAGGAAGACCCTGTTTTGGCTTTTGATTTGGTGAAACAAATGAAGGATTCTTGTATTCCTCCTAAGCTGAGGTCGTATGGACCAGCCTTGTTTGGCTTTTGCAAGAAAGGAATGCCAGATGAGGCTTATGAAGTCGATTGCCATATGCTAGAATCAGGGTTAGTCCCAGAAGAGGAAGAGCTTTCTGCTCTATTAAAGGTGAGTTGTGAGTCAAAACGCGTTGAGAAAGTATATGAATTGATGCATAGGTTAAGGGCGTCTGTTAGGCAAGTGTCGGAAAACACTGCTACCATTGTGGAAGATTGGTTTAGGTCAGAAACTGCTGCAGGGGTTGGGATAGAGAAGTGGAATGTGGAGAAGGTGAAAAAAGGTGTGTTGAAGGGTGGGGGTGGGTGGCACGGGCAAGGTTGGTTGGGTAAGGGAGAATGGGAAGTTGTGAGAACTAAAATGGGTGAGAGAGGCGTGTGCCATTCATGTAGAGAAAAGCTTGTAAGCATTGATATTGATTTGATCGAGACTGAGAATTTCGCTAATTCATTGGCAAAGTTGGCTTCTGAAAGGGAGGCCAAAAATTCATTTTATCAGTTTCAGGTATGGCTAATTGACTAGTTGTTTTTCTTAGAAGAACTCACTTTCACTTATTTTCTGTTGAAGTTTATTATTATGGTTTACTGTATATGCACTTCAAGTGGTTCCTATCTACTTAAACATTATTATTAGGGTTCTAGGTATTTAGATGTTTGCCTTTTTATCCCCTCATAATTGTACAACTTTTTTGTTGGAAGATTGAGATGACATTACATAAAACATTAAAAAATAAAAAGAGCACACTGGTGGACATTGGCATCCCCGCAAGGCGAGGGTCCCGGGAAGGTTCCCACCACAAGGGTGTGTAAGGAGCAAGCTTTCCCTTGTCATTTTGACAAGAGGTCACTCCCAAGACTTGAACCCGTGACCTCTCGGTCAATGTAATGAAATTTTATATGCATACTTTTTCTTTTTGTATGGATGAGAATGAAAACAAAAACAAAATGGAGAGTGTTACAATCCCTCCATCCTGTTAAATACAGGCAACTGTTTGTCCCTATTCCCTCCCACATCACATATGGTTCCGATCTAGGCCACTCATGTATATGTTTAATGCCGTGTTTGATTTTTGTTTTTGAAGGATTAAAATGTAAATCTTTTGGGATTAAAGCTTGGATGTTGTTTGTAAGGATTAAAATGTAATAGCAATATAATCTTACCTGCCATTTTTATTGATATAATTGATTTTCTTGCTAAACACACCTACAATGCCATAAAAGTATTGGTCGATAATGACTTTGATTTCAAGACAATAGAGTGATTTTTCATCATTGATATGTCATGATTGAGTTTTTCTGCATGAAACACCACAAACAACCTAATCTGTAGTATAAAAACTACTTTTCATTCAGGAGTGGCTTAGGAGGAATGGTCCATTTGATGCAGTGGTAGATGGTGCAAATGTTGGCCTCATTAATAACCGAGACTTCAGTTTTTTACAGGTAGAGAACAATTGTTTTTCACGCTACTTGTTTCTTCGTATTACCCCTCTTTCCTATCAATGGGATCAAGGGTATGTTTGGACCCTGGAGTACAGGTATAGGGTAAACAAATGCTAAGGAATTAATTTTCTTATGCTTGGTTTTATCTTGGAAAATACTAAGAAAAATGATACTCCCTCAATCCCATTTTGTTTGCCCTATCATTCCATTTTAGGCCTCCCTAAATGTTTGTCTCATACTGAATTTACCCATATTTTGTGGCTCACAATCATTCTTTTACAAATTCAAAACCAACCACAAATTCCTATTTTCCTTAATATTTGTGCCGAACCCCATCCCAAACTTAATGAGATGAAGCTAGCATATTTTTAGGTTTTCTAAAATTCTGCATACATTTAGATTTATAGTCTTTTTATGGTAGACAGAATAAAATGAGTATCAAGAAATATCCCAGATAAACTTATTGAGTGTCAAACTCCTTCATATTTTCTCTTTCTAATGCCCTCTATGTTTTTCCTGCTTTTTTTTATTTCCCTGGCATTTCCCTGGTTCTTCAGACCCCAAGAGTTCCCTGGGATGGGATGCAGTTAGATATTCAAAAATAGGTCAAAAAATGATATACAGACCCATCCTAGAATTTGGATGGCAATATGGTTTTCCACTTAACTATTGTGTCCTTTTTCATTAGCTCAAATCTGTTGTCAATGAGTTACATCAAAGAAGCAAATCAAAGAAGCTGCCACTTGTTATATTGCATACAAGTCGTGTAACGGGAGGACCTGCTGTGCATCCTAGGAACAAGAGGTTATTGGAAAGCTGGAGAAGTGCTGGTGCACTTTATGCCACTCCAAAGGGTTCATGTGATGATTGGTAATATTCTTTAATTAAGCTTTTATCTCTCTATACTTATTTGGATATATGTTTTCTATTGAATTCTCCTATAAGTATGCATGTGTCTGCCTTTGTTCATGACTAGACATTCACAACCGTGAACAATGTTCGTCCATATCATCATCATTCAATATTTAGGAAAGAATTAATGCATAATGTGACCTTTTTCTACAAAGTACTAGCTCATAGACTTCAACTCTTAAGAACCAGAAAATTTTGAATCAATATTTGCTTTTTCTGTAGGAGTAAATGATATAGCTCGCAATAGTGCGAGCTATATCATTTACCCTTGCAAAAAAGCAAGTCATGTATCAAATTTAACTATCCCAATTAAAGCATCCCTATAACTTGCCGAAATAATGAGTAGTACACGCACGGAAAACTAAAAAATCTGTAAATATGACTTTTTGGCTTCCAAGTTTCGACAGCTGTTCATTGCCAAAATTACAAAGTTGTCACTTGACTAAACAAGACTCTATTTTGGGACTTAGGGAGTATCACTAAACTTGAAATAAACTTAAGCGGAATGTGTCAAGCATGAGTATTTAAATTGCAGGTGACTTGTGTGATTTTGGAAAAATGTTAATAATGATTTCTACCAGTGGTGGACTGGTGGGCAGCTTCGTTATTACAATTACAGGTCCATTATCTGTGAATATGATTTGAAAATCAACATCATCACTAAAAATACTTCTACAGGTATTGGTTATATGCCGCGGTGAGTTGCAAGTGTTTGCTGGTCTCTAATGATGAGATGAGGGATCACATATTCCAGCTGTTAGGGAATGGATTTGTCCCCAGATGGAAGGAAAAACACCAGGTACCATCCCTTGATATTGTTAAGTCAGTAGAGAGCTTTGGAGGGAAGACTTTCAAGGGATTAATCTATATCATAATATATACTTTATCTGGCTCTATAAAGAGAGTCCTGCTTCAAGAGATTCTTTTATCCCAATTAAAGAGTACATTTCAAAAAAACAACTTCATTTGTAAGTAAAACTCCTGTAAAGCCAGCGGCATACAATTATAGTCAACCACTGCAAACAATCTTAGAAATAAGCTTTAGGTGTATAATAGATGATCATTCGTGAGTTGTAAAAGTATATATGTTGATGCAATGAACTAAAAATATATCTTGTACCTTACTCATACATGTTTTTTATTTAGCACAGATGGAATAGAATGTTTATAAGATGAATAAAGGATGACGAAAATTTGAGATGTTATACGAATACCTATTATGGACGGATGCCGACACCAAGTTCTTTTGGGACTAAGGCTTGGATGTTGGTTGTATATGATCACTGATTATGTTATTCCTTCACTTTTTGTACAATGTCAAATATATCTTAAGATAGACTCTGCCCTCCATGACTCTGCCCTCCATAACCCTACCTCTCCGAAACCCTCCTACCAAAAGGAACATTAGGGTCTGTTTGGATGAATGTTTTTTTTGGGGGGTGGGAGTTGAAGGCTTTGGAATATTTGGTTTGAGAGGAATGCTTAGTGTCTATCTTGATATACTATCGTATATATTTGATATGTGTTTTGTACAAATTATAAGGTTGATATGTAATTGTAGAACACTTCATGCTTATTCTCTATCTTGATATATACGTAGCATTTGCTATGAGTGTTTTGTACAAATTATAAGCTTAACTTACTTAATATGCACTTGTATAACACTTCAATTACCTTTTATTTATTTTTAGAATATTATACCTATCAAGATGTAAACTAATCCCTCCAAAGCTTTCTATTGAAACAGACCCTTAGGGGGATGTATACGGCTCGAATTGGATTGGCATCAAATGATATTACTGCAGTAGTGTAAATAGTGTTAGTTTGTGGAATGTAATCATATGTATTTTTAAAATGCCAGATCCGGATGACTGCATCTAGGGAAGAGGGACTTGAGCTACACATGCCTCCTCCATATTCAATTGTTATTCAAGTGAGTTATATACCCAATTAAAACTAATAGTTGCTTATTTTTTGATTTAAAAAGATATTTCCGTCCCTATTTTGGTGATAAACGGTAATGCAATTCCAGGAGTCGGAGGAGGGAAATTGGCATGTACCAACTGTAACAGGTGATGACCTTGAAACACCCCGCCAGTGGCTATGCGCTACCCGGAAGAGGAGAAAGCCACTGCATAATCTCTTTTAGTAAGCATGTGTTTTTTCAAGTTCATCAGGCTTCAAGAGAGAGATTGGAATGAAATATTTTTTAGACAAATTTATCCTTTTAAATCTTTATTGTTAAAATTACCAGACATTTTATTGTTGTGTAAATTCATATAAAATTCTTTGTGGTGCCAAAGTCCGGTAATTTTTGGAATTTTGGTTTGTCATTTCATATTGCAAAATTTATTTGTCTAAAGAAGGATCTGACCATACATGAGTAGTTGTTGAAGAGTAGAACCCGAGCCTTACCAGAGCCCTGATACATTTTTAAGTTTAGGAGCTAGCAGCACTCAATGAAATGAAAGGAGTTCTAAAGGAGCGTTTGCAAACGCTTAAAAAGCATTTTTGCTGCTTTTAGCTTTGAAAAGGCTAAAAATGGTGTTTGCATTGACAATTTTTTACTTAAATTCAAAGTGATTTTAAGCCTAAAGTTGAAAGGTGACTCTGGCATGCTTATATGTCCTTGTTTAAATAGTTCAAACTTTTAGGATAGTTATTAGGTAAACATATCCCATAAACCCCAAAATACTCATTCCAATTAATTATTAGTCCATATAAAAATCCCAGATGTGCCTCACGAATTGGTGTTGCAGATGCTTGACTTGTGGTGACCATCCGTCACCATCCGTATGCCAGCGGCATGTATGCCAGCGGCTGTTTTAACAAGAATTAAACTAATCTAAAATAGAATTATAATGGGAATCAAGCAATATTGAATCAATATGGACGAATTCGTACTGGGAAGAAAGAATATATATTATCGATGCTTATGTACTAATAATGAGCTTCGAATACAGAGTGTTGAATAATATGGATGTATTCTGATCGTGTATGCTTGTTGTATATGATTGTAAAACTAAGAGATGGGCTTCCACTTAGTGGAAGATATTCCTCCTTTTATACAATTATTCCATGCGAACGTGATCTCCCTAGATGGTTAAACAGCCCGGCAAATTAGCCCCTATTCCTACGAACTCGGCTGTTAGCAAGGCACACTTTGTTCCACTTCCCCCGTTCAAAGCTCTTCATCCTTATCTGCTTAATTACCTTGGTTGGATTGGGCCGACTAATTCCATGTTGGCTCATGGGTCACACCTTTATTTAATAAATATTCTGTGGCCCAACAATTGCCCCCTTTCGAGAAGTTGAGGCGTATGAGCGTACAAGTCAACCCGTTAAGCATCAACTTGTCGAAATCTTGCACGTCATCCTTGAATACAGCTCATATAAACTTGTCCTTTGTCTGATAAGACATATTGTCAACCTGCCATTTGTATAACAAGACGCCTTTGTCAACTCACCACTTTTCTAACGACATGCTCCCTTCAACCTGTCACTCGTCTGCTACTTCCATTAACTCGTCATATGCTTGTCTAGACGCTTCTATCAACATGTCACTATCTTTGCAAGTAGTTTTTAGATCGAATTTGTCTCCTTGAGTGAGGTGACGAAGAACGAAAACTGGTCTCCTGTCATCTTCCTCCAGATTTGTGCTAATGATAGTATCTAAGCAATGCTGGCGAGTCGTAACTTCGTCCAGGTTGACGTCGACACTTCGGTTGGCAATTATGATTTTGTGCCTCGTTGTATAAATGACGAGTTTGGCTCCGTACCCTGCAAAAAACTTTAAATATTGTTTCGTTTATGGTTTTAGTAATATCGTCGACATGAATACTTGTGATTTATGTCAATGTCGTTTGTATTGTCTCCTTATGTTTTGGAGTTTGTGTTGTCATGCTCTTGGAGCACATGCTTCTGTTGTGTGTTTTTGTGTTGTGTTGTGTTGTTTTTGTGTAGTTTTGGCCAAAACTCGTAGGGATTCTCGGTCCGTGCCTCATATTTCATATATGAAGGACTCAAGTTTGCCCCACCTTCCCTTGTTGCGGGGTTTGTGTTAGCGGTTGTCGCTATGTGTATCGCATGTCGGTTGTCCTTTGCGCTGTCAAAATCCTGCATACAGACATATCGTCAAAGTCTGGCCGTTGGCTTTTGGCCAACGGCCCTCCGATGCTTAAGTCAGTAATTATTGGAGCAAACAAATAAGATTTTATCAAAGGAAAAGGACTCACCAGGCCGATCATCATGTACCCGAATGATGTTGAAGTTGAAACGTGAGAATCGAACAACTTTAATTTATTTGGACATTATTGAAAACATTAAATGTGACAGAAAATTGCATGGAAATTGAAAAGACTAATGAAGTTGACAAAGATTTTTGTGATGAAAATGCGAACAAAGAGACTACCTATGACACTTTACCTACTCGTCTGGTTTGATCAGTTTGCTATTGTCGGTCAGCACCTATTCAAAGACTAATTTGGCCGTTGGTTTGAGGCCAACAGCCCTCCGATGCTCAAGTTAGTAATGGAAGTAAAAGAATGGTATATCGACTATACTTATTAAATCAGAAATGCAAGGGTTTTAAGTGTACCACATTCTAGCTTCTCGGTACTTGCTTACTCTCGACAGATTGCAGTCGATATGCCCCCTGTCCGACGACTTCAATCATGTCGTCAAATCTACCTCGTCAAAGAAGTGACAACTCGTTCTTCTGGTCTCGAATAAGGTCTTCTGTGCTTGTAGTCGTGCCTCCTGGGGGATTCTGATTTCCCGTGCCCCCCTTCCTGCTCAATTTGTCCGTGACGGGCTCGTAAGTCTTCTTCTAGACGAATGAAAGCTAGTGCCTTTGCTTGGACATCTTGGAAGGATCGAGTAGGATATTTCGTCAACTCCCGATATAACTCTGAATCCTCCAGCAGTCCTTGTCTGAATGCTTCAATTGTCGTCGGCACGTAACACCTGGGGATTGACACCTTCTCCTTGTTGAAACGATGCAAGTATTCCCGTAAGGATTCGTTTCGCCTCTGGACCACTCGATAAAGATCACTGGTTTGCTTCTCCAAGGCTCGACTACTTGCAAACTGTCGATTGAATAAGTTGACCAGCTCTGCAAATGAATTGATGCCTCCATTTGGTAGGTTGACGAACCACGTCAATGCTGGTCCTGACAATGTCGTCCCAAATGCCCTGCACATGCAAGCTTCTCGCTGATCTGGTCTGACTGAGGTGACTAACATTTGCTGCTTGTACTGAGCGACATGTTCCACCGGATCAGAAGTCCCATCGAACAGTCTCATCGAGGGGGCGGCGAACTTCCTCGGAATCTCGACATCAGTGATACGTCGTCCGAAAGGCGAGTCCGCATAGCACGTTTGTGAGGCAACATCTAGCGGTGGCGGGACTCCAGGTATGTCGTTGATTTTTTCCCGCATCTCCCTCATCTCCTCCATGAGGATGGCCAAAGTGTCGGTCAAGTATGTCTGCATCTGCGGAACTGCCACTTCGGGTGGTGTTGTCGTTTGGGCTACTCCTCGTTCGGTCGGTGATGGTATGTCGATGATCTCCGGCTCTTGCCGCCTCTGGTTGTTGATCTCGACATGTCTGGGGATGTCGACATGATTTGGAACATGTCGTATCTGGGGCGCTGCAAACAGATTACGGAATACGTTCCTTCTAGGATTTGGGAAAGGAAATGAACGAGTCGAGGGCCCGGATTTTCCAGGCATGTCGGCTCCGGAATGAGGGACGAAAGGATGCATGGGAGCCGACGTGGTGGTCGAAGTTGGCATCTGTTGGTTGATTGTGTGCAAACCCGACGCCACCGTTCTGGTCCACAATGAATCCGGGAAGAAGTGCGTTGGGATGCTCGTGGTTGGGGTTGAAGCCGGAACTGAATCCATGTCCAATCTTGTTGTCACGGTCATTATATCATTTTCCTGTCGTGAATTGGATACTATGGATGCCACCGATTGTACTTGAGATCGTAGAGCGTCGTTTTCTCGTTGGAGGAGGGTGATCCGCTGCCGCATTTCTTCCTTGACAGCTTCTAGTTGCGCTTGAACCTTCACCGCCGAATGATTAGAATTTCCGGCCATGCGTATTTCTTCCCTGAGAGCTTCTAGTTGTGCTTGAATCTCTGTCACCAAAGAATTAGAACTTCCGGCCATAATTGATTCTCTTTTTGCAAGAATTTCCCACAGACGGCGCCAATTGTTTTAACAAGAATTAAACTAATCTAAAATAGAATTATAATGGGAATCAAGCAATATTGAATCAATATGGACGAATTCGTACTGGGAAGAAAGAATATATATTATCGATGCTTATGTACTAATAATGAGCTTCGAATACAGAGTGTTGAATAATATGGATGTATTCTGATCGTGTATGCTTGTTGTATATGATTGTAAAACTAAGAGATGGGCTTCCACTTAGTGGAAGATATTCCTCCTTTTATACAATTATTCCATGCGAACGTGATCTCCCTAGATGGTTAAACAGCCCGGCAAATTAGCCCCTATTCCTACGAACTCGGCTGTTAGCAAGGCACACTTTGTTCCACTTCCCCCGTTCAAAGCTCTTCATCCTTATCTGCTTAATTACCTTGGTTGGATTGGGCCGACTAATTCCATGTTGGCTCATGGGTCACACCTTTATTTAATAAATATTCTGTGGCCCAACAGCGGCATGTATGCCAGCGGCACGCTACCCGCCACCATCCTCGAAGTGGCTATCTGCCAGCATCCTCAATGTGGTGACCCGCCAGGGGCCTCATCTTTAAGAGGTAGGCTGCAGCTAGTAGCCTAAACTATTGGTGCTCACCTCGCTGCAATTCTGCAAATGGGGGGAAGAGGTAAAGGATGCGGCAGTGGCCAGTGGGGTAGAGTCCCGTCCATGTATCTCTTTCGTTTTAATTTGGGGGTATTTTTGTATTTTAATTATACTACGTATATTACAATGAAAATCGCTTTTTTAATCAAACACTAACTTTTTCGAGTACATTTTAACAAAAATCACTTTTATTTTCAAACACTACTAACTTTTACTACAAAACACTTTTCAATAATCTCTTCACAAAATCACTTTTGAAAAGCAAAAGCAAACACTCCCTAAGTCGACGATAAAAGTTTGTGACTATGTCAACCTGAGGCATTGAATGACTGATTAGAATCCTTTCGGGATTCTTAAGGGGGTGTCCTCAAGTGGGATTTTAAAGGATTTTAAATGATTGTAGATTCTATGCATTTTAAATGAATTCTACAGATTCCATGAGATTCATATGGAATTCTATGGAATTTTATTTCATGGAATCATATGGATTTCAATAGATTTGTAATACAAGCCGGTGCAAACCGCTGCCCTAGTTCCCCGTCCCCACACTTGCTCAGCCGCTGCAAACCGCCGTCGTAAAAGTCATCAGAATATTTTGATAAAATATTTTAATATAAAATAACAGTATATTTCAGCCCTTCAAGCCAACAGATCCATTTATAAATGAGATGATATCGAGTATGTGACTACCACGAGCATGTTTTTAACAGCATGTTTAAAAACATATTAACAACATGTTTTTTATTTGTGGTAAGAACATATTCATATACTCCGTATATGATGAATACGCATGGACTGTAAAAACATATTCAAGCATGACCTGTTTTTATAAAAACATGCTGTTTTTATATGAATGCGCACTTAAGAGAATGAAGTGTTTTATTGAATACGCATGGACTGTTAAAAAACATGTTTTTAATATGAATAAGTGTGCGCAGGTTTTATAAAAACATGCTGCTTTTTAATGAATACGAACTTCAGAGAATGAAATTGAAAAAGTTTACAAATCAGATATTTGTAGACAGATGAATACGTGAGAATGACATAAAAATTTGGAGAAAATCGTATCTGGAGAATACTTGAAAGATGAAGAAGGTGTGTAGTTGGAAGATGAAAGAGAATCCAGGGAATACGTCGATCGATCTGCCGGCACAGAGAATACGTGCGCAAGGTTTTTTTTTAAATGGATTTGGAAATCCAAGGGGTGGTGGTGAGATTGTCGGTGGATTGGGTTATTCAGTTTTTTGGCTTGAAAATCCATCAAAGTCCATCAAAGTAATCAATAAGTAAAATCCATGGAATGTTTATGGATACCCAGATTTTAATAGATTCTTTAGAAATCTAAATTGAGGACACCTGGATTTGGATGGAATTTTAAACTCCATTAAAATCCCTTAAATTCCATGTTGGGGACACCCCCCTTAGTTAGAGAAAGACTGTCAAAACAAAGGACTAGAAATTGGAAATCATTTTTATTGTTAAACAACAACTACAATTAAGCATATAAAATCTTGAGCCAATGAAGGTTAGGGCATTTTAGGTATAGAAAATGTGCTGGTGTGACACTAATGCAATCGATATTTGTACAATCAATTTCCGTCATTGTACTCTCATATGACTACCGTTATTTTCCCGTCTTAACATTTGGGTTTCCGTTGGTTAAAGTTTCACTTCTCCGTTTTAGGGGTTTAGTTTTCTTCTCCATTTTTCCTTGAGTCGGGCTATTGGTGAATGGCGATTAACCGTTTGAAACCAAATAAATACAAAAGAGATCATGCACCAAAATGAAGGTTTAGATTCTTATTCATATGGAGAAAGAGAGGAGGGATTTTGGAGTTATGACATCGAGCATGCTGCACTCTTTTTAGCTCAAAAACGTTCCAGTCTTCTCCGAAAAAATCCTTCAGTGTTCATAGCATTGTTCTCGTTCATTGTAACAAAACTCTGGGTATATTGAATTTGGAGTGAACAATATGTATTGTTGTTAGTCAGTACATATTCTTCTTTTAATTAACTCTTTTGATTAAAAAAATCAAAAAAGTTATTGTGTGTGTCTCTCTCCCAACTCCATATAAGAAGCGCTATCAATTGAGCCTTGTGATTCATCTATTGAGAATTCTGTTTTGTGTACACCAATTTCTTTTAACAGTTATATTTGCTCAAATAAGTTATTGAGAATATCCATGAAATTGAACCCCAAAAAATATAGCAATGTTACATAATTAGACCAACTCTGAATTATTGGGCTTGTATTTCATTCGGGGATTATTTTGAAATATTTTGTTTTGGTAAATCTCATGCTTATATTTTATTATTGTAAATTGAAATGTAATTTTTTCATGAAAAATCAACTCAAAGTTCAATTTATGTTCTACTAAAGAATTTCATAATGGCTTACAATATGTTTTTATGGAGCTATTGAGATTTAGTGCATGCCCCATCTCTAATGTTTTTTTTTTGTCTAATGTTTTATTTGTGCTTTTGATTTTGTTTTACGATTGAAGTTTTGATTAAATCAAATGTTTCATATCCTATCAAGATAATTGCTTTACACAGTATATGAACATGTCGTCGGCAATTGTTGGAAGAAATTTCTCATTTGTTGGCTTGTATTTTAATGTTAAAGATGTTTTTACTTGGATCGTAATTTGCTGGTCTGGTTTGATCTTGTCTGGTATGATCTGATCTGGTTTCTTTGTTTTTTTATAACTATTCAAGTCTGGACTGGTCTGGTTTGGTCTGGGTAAAATTACCATCCAAGTAAAAATATCCTAAGTTGTATTGAACATGCGAATTTTTACAGTCTTTAACTATATGCATGCTTTTAGAATAGTTTTCATGCACACTTTACACCTAACTGACCTAAGCCCCTTAGGACCTGTTTACTAACAGAGATATTTTCCAGTTTTTCAGAAAACTGGAAAACTGGAAAACAGAAAACATGAAACATGTTTACCAAAGAAATTCCTGGAAAACTGGAGAAAGGAAAAAAGAAAAACGCGTTTATCAAATCGTTTTCCAAAACGGAAAAAATGAGACATGTCTCTCTTTTCCTTAATGATTTGGAGAAGTGACTTTTACTAGTTTTCCAAATTTGGAAAACGCAGATGCTACAGTGTCGCTGCAATGAATTTGCATACTTACACCTAGTGGTGGGTCCGGTCCCGCTCCGATGTCGATTCCATTCCGGTACCTCCATCCTCGTACCTTATCCCTTACCCCTACCCTACCCTACCCTACCCAACCCCACCCCGCATACCCATTTTTCCCTATAATGACCCTACCCCACCCCGATCCACCCTACCCTACCGCCACCCCCCTACCACCTCGACCCCACCCCGACCCACCCTACCCTACCCCCACCCGTATATTATCCCTTACCACATGCCCCTACCTTGGCCCCACCCCACCGCCATCCTACCCCCCACCCTCGTACCGCCATCCTACCCCACCCTTCCGCCATTCTACCACCATCTTACCCCCTACCCTTCCCCTACCTCGGCCCCACCCCAACCCACCCTACCCTACCCCCACCCGTATATTACCCCTTACCCCTTACCACATGCCCCTACCTCAGCCCCACCCCACCGCCATCCTACCCCCACCCTCGTACCTCCATCCTACCCCCACCCTTCCGCCATCCGACCACCGTCCTACCCCCCCACCCTACCCTTCCCTTACCTCGACCCCACCCAAATCCTGGGCCCACCCTATCGCCATCCTATCCCACTACCCCTACCTTACCCCAATCCCAACCCTACCCACTACCCCCACCCTTACTGACATCCTACCCCCCCACCCCCTACCCCTTCCCTATCTCAGCCCCACCCTGGTCCTAGCCCCACCCTACCGCCATCCTATCCCAACTCCATACTCTACCTCTACCTTACCCCAAACCCTACCCACTACCCCACCCTTACCCCTAACCACGACCCTAACCCACCCACTACCCCCCACCCAACCCCTACCCCTAGACCTTACCACCCCACCCCGACCATACCCCTTACCCCACCCCCACCCATAACTTCCCTACCCCGACCCCTACGAGTGTGGGTATGAAGGGTTGTGGGGGAGTATGGGTAGAGTGTAAGATCGTGGTAAGGGTAGGGGTCGAGGGTGTGGAATTGGAGAACTGGGTGAAAAAATTGATGAACATGTTTTCATATTTGAAAATGGAAAACTAAAAAATAGAAACAGAAAGTTGGAGATAGAAAAACTGAAAAATAAAAACAGAAAATCGGAGAACGAAAAACAGAAGTAGAAAACAGGAAAATATCTCTGTTAGTAAACAGGCCCTAATTTTTTTATTATTTTCTTTTTCTATACATCACATTTGTATGGATTTTTTTTTTGGTGTTTGCTAAATAATTAAGAACTTTAAGTCAAAGGCTTGGATATGAAAGATAACACATTGTGTTTCATTATATTCCCCACCTTATACTAAGATGTAGAAACATCTTAATTTTTGATCTTTTTTATCTTAATTGTCTATCTTATGGTTATAAACTTGGATGGATAGCAACATGGTTATAATATTATTAAAGGGCATAAATGTCTTACAAGAGCATTCATATATGAATCCGATCCATATATACCCAAAATAAGGTAAAGGAGAATGTCATGAATAACAAATTGTAAAGCGGTCTAATCCTCTCAAAGCATGCTCTAATCAGTGTGTTTAGACACAAGAAAAATGTAAGCATAAACGTTGTCATCACTCTGATGTGATTGTAAGGACTGGTCCAATTTTGCAAAAATGTCATTCTCTTTGGCCGGAAGTTCATTTTAGACTTATGTTCTTGTAGGAGAAACTGAGAAAGATGCAGTCCTATTGCTATGAGTATATATGTTTCTGTAACCATGGGTCATGGTCCCTCCGATAGACATGAAAACGTATACAATGGTCTAAAATTAGATTATAGGTGCTTCTCACGATGTGTATAAAATTTGTTTGCAAGTTTCAAACAAATTAATTACATTAACGAATAATACTTCATTGAGTTAATCGGTTAATTTTACCGAAGTAGCATTGGACATCTAAAGTAAATTATTTCTCACGTACCAAGTAGTGGTGGACTCGGGTCGGGCCACCCGGCCCATGAACCGGCCTGGCCCGCTACTGTGCGGGCCCGGGACCGGCCCGGTTCACCGGTCCGGGTACCGGGCTTCGACCCGGCCCGAGGGGAGACGGTTCCGGGCATGGTTCCTTCAAAATGAGACCCGGCCGGCCCGGTTCAGGCCGAAATCAATTTTTTTTTGTTTTTTCATTTTTTTTATTCCAACGGGTCGGGCTGGGTGCTTGGGGGTCGGGGTTTGGGGGTGGGGTGAGGGGGGGGGGGGTCAGGACTCGGGGGTTAATTAGAAAAGCAAAAATTAAAAATATATATAAAGAGGCTCGAGGCCCGGCCCGGCCCGGACCCAGACCAGACCCGGTGTATACTCGGGCCGGTCCCGGGCCCACCTATTCAGAACCGGCAGCCCGCCCGGGCCTAGGCCCGGCCCGGACCCAACCCGGCCCAAGTCCAGGACTAGTACCAAGTACTCACGAAAATTACTTTTGTTGCTCATGAAATACGTAAGCATTTTAGTTTGTTGGACATTTCATTAAAGAGAGAATTCCGTAAAAGGAGTAAAACTTTTTCAAATTCCGGAATAGGACTGTCATGTTTTTTATTCCCTGAATAGGAGTAAATTTCTTCCAAGTTTGGCATTACTAGGCTTTAAACATTGCATTTTTCCCAAAACTGGTAACCATATTAGAATAAATTGAATCGTAACCAAACAAAACTTAATCGCAAATAAAAGTAAACCGAATCCATAAATTAAAACCGAATCGAACCGTAGTTGCTTGGTTCAATTTCAGTTTTGGCCTTTTAAAATGAACCGAAATGAATAACTGAAATACTATGATTTCATTACTACTCTAGTCACTAGTCATATTTTTGTAAATCATCTTTATTTTGGTCATATTTATGTAATTATTTCTACTATATAAGTAAAATGATGATGATGAGTCAATTTTATCAAGTTTAAAATTCCAAATATGCAATCTTGTTTTACATAAAATAAAATTAAACTCAGAAATTGACATTTCTTTAAAGTGCACATATTTCATTTTTAAATATGTTACGAAATTTTCATCCAAGCTAGACGGACTAACCGGCTAGCTAACAATCTGCTAGAGAAGAAGCCATTTTATCCCTTCCTTGGAAGAAGAAGAGG